TGCAGAGAATTCGTAGTTTGGAAGTTAGGAGGAGGTGCGGGATTACCAAAACTGTTGTCCAGAGGGCTGAGGAAGGGTTGTTGAGGTGGTTCGGACATGTAGAGAGAATGGAGCGAAACAGAGTGACTTCAAGAGTGTATCAGTCTGTAGTGGAAGGAAGGCGGGGTAGGGTCGCCTAGGAAAGGTTGGAGGGAGGGGGTAAAGGAGGTTTTGTGTGCGAGGGGCTTGGACTTCCAGCAGGCATGCTTGAGCATGTTTGATAGGAGTGAATGGAGACAAATGGTTTTTAATACTTGACGTGCTGTTGGAGTGTGAGCAAAGTAACATTTATGAAGGTGTTCAGGGAAACCGGCAGGCCGGACTTGAGTCCTGGAGATGGGAAGTACAGTGCCTGCACTCTGAAGGAGGGGTGTTAATGTTGCAGTTTAAAAACTGTAGTGTAAAGCACCCTTCTGGCAAGACAAGACAGTGATGGAGTGAATGATGGTGAAAGTTTTTCTTTTTCGGGCCACCCTGCCTTGGTGGGAATCGGCCAGTGTGATAATAAATAAAAAAAAAAAAATATATATATATGTATGGTATATATATATATATATATATATATATATATATATATATATATATATATATATATATATATATATATATATATATATATATATATAGAGGCACTGTCAAGAAATTTTAATGAAATAAGAAAAATTTTGGAGTGAGTTAAACAAGTTAAGAAAGCCTAGGGAAAATATGGATTTGTCAGTTAAAAACAGAGTAGGGGAGTTAGTAGATGGGGAGATGGAGGTATTAGGTAGATGGCGAGAATATTTTGAGGAACTTTTAAATGTTAAGGAAGAAACAGAGGCAGTAATTTCCTGCACTGGTCAGGGAGGTATACCATCTTTTAGGAGTGAAGAAGAGCAGAATGTAAGTGTGGGGGAGGTACGTGAGGCATTACGTAAAATGAAAGGGGGTAAAGCAGCTGGAACTGATGGGATTATGACAGAAATGTTAAAAGCAGGGGGGGATATAGTGTTGGAGTGGTTGGTACTTTGTTCAATAAATGTATGAAAGAGGGGAAGGTACCTAGGGATTGGCAGAGAGCATGTATAGTCCCTTTATATAAAGGGAAAGGGGACAAAAGAGACTGTAAAAATTATAGAGGAATAAGCTTAATGAGTATACCAGGAAAAGTGTACGGTAGGTTATAATTGAAAGAATTAGAGGTAAGACAGAATGTAGGATTGGCGATGAGCAAGGAGGTTTCAGAGTGGGTAGGGGATGTGTAGATCAAGTGTTTACATTGAAGCATATATGTGAACAGTATTTAGATAAATGTAGGGAAGTTTTTTATTGCATTTATGGATTTAGAAAAGGCATATGATAGAGTGGATAGAGGTGCAATGTGCAGATGTTGCAAGTATATGGAATAGGTGGTAAGTTATTAAATGCTGTAAAGAGTTTTTATGAGGATAGTGAAGCTCAGGTTAGGGTGTGTAGAAGAGAGGGAGACTATTTCCCGTAAAAGTAGGTCTTAGACAGGGAATGTGTAATGTCACCATGGTTGTTTAATTATTTATAGATGGGGTTGTAAAGGAAGTAAATGCTAGGGTGTTCGGGAGAGGGGTGGGATTAAATTTTGGGGAATCAAATTCAAAATGGGAATTGACACAGTTACTTTTTGCTGATGATACTGTGCTTATGGGAGATTCTAAAGAAAAAATTGCAAAGGTTAGTGGATGAGTTTGGGAATGTGTGTAAAGGTAGAAAGCTGAAAGTGAACATAGAAAAGAGTAAGGTGATGAGGGTGTCAAATGATTTAGATAAAGAAAAATTGGATATCAAATTGGAGAGGAGGAGTATGGAAGAAGTGAATGTTTTCAGATACTTGGGAGTTGACGTGTCGGCGGATGGATTTATGAAGGATGAGGTTTAATCATAGAATTGATGAGGGAAAAAAGGTGAGTGGTGCGTTGAGGTATATGTGGAGTCAAAAAACGTTATCTATGGAGGCAAAGAAGGGAATGTATGAAAAGTATAGTAGTGCCAACACTTTTATATGGTGTGAAGCTTTGGTGGTAAATGCAGCAGCGAGGAGACGTTTGGAGGCAGTGGAGATGTCCTGTTTAAGGGCAATGTGTGGTGTAAATATTATGCAGAAAATTCGGAGTTTGGAAATTAGGAGAAGGTGTGGAGTTAATAAAAGTATTAGTCAGAGGGCAGAAGAGGGGTTGTTGAGGTGGTTTGGTCATTTAGAGAGAATGGATCAAAGTAGAATGACAGGAAAGCATATAAATCTATAGGGAAGGAAGGCGGGGTAGGGGTCGTCCTCAAAAGGGGTTGGGAGAGAGGGGGTAAAGGAGGTTTTGTGGGCGAGGGGCTTGGACTTCCAGCAAGCGTGCGTGAGCGTGTTAGATAGGAGTGAATGGGACGAATGGTATTTGGGAAACCCTGACGATCTGTTGGAGTGTGAGCGGGTAATATTTAGTGAAGGGATTCAGGGAAACCGGTTATTTCATATAGTCGGACTTGAGTCCTGGAAATGGGAAGTACAATGCCTGCACTTTAAAGGAGGGGTTTGGGATATTGGCAGTTTGGAGGGATATTTGTGTATCTTATATGTGTATGCTTCTAGACTGTTGTATTCTGAGCACCTCTGAAAAAACAGTGATAATGTGCGAGTGTGGTGAAGTGTTGAATGATGATGAAAGTTTTTTTCTTTTTGGGGATTTTCTTTCTTTTTTGGGTCCCCCTCCCTCGGTGGGAGACTGCCGACTTGTTGAAAAAAAAAATAAATATATATAATATATATAAAATATATTATTATATATATAAATATATAATATATAAAAATATATATATATAATATATATATATAAACATACATATACATAATACAGGTCCCCCTAAACATTCACGTTTTCAACTTTCGCGGGCTTCACACATTCGCGAATTCCCAACCCCAAAATTCCCTGCCTCAAATCATAATTTTAAATTTACCGCCACGAGTCCTTTTCTACCCTCCCTCCGCCCCCAAACTGGCAGCCAGCCCTCCCACCACTGTGTGGTGGTGTTTTGTTTGTTCATTATTTGCTATTAAACTACAGTATAAATAATGTAACCCATCATGACTGCATATTAGAATGGCTATTCAGACAGGTATTGGAAGGTGACATCATGTGTTTACTCTTGAACACAGCAAAGAATCAAACATTTCTGCTACTGCTAATAATAATAATAATAATAATAATAATAATAATAATAATAATAATATAATAAAAAAATAATAATAATAATAATACTAATAATAAATACGATAGAATTGAAGAAGGAAATTGTACAAAAATACGAGGGCTGAAGCAGTGGTGGAGGAAGTGGTTGACACATCGTCAGTGTGGCTTTGTTTATGCTGGAGTGAGCATTAGTCTCCGTGCTCTTCCAAACATTTCACAATAATTCATTGTATTTGGTGCTTGCTTGTAGATTGAGTGGTTGAGGCAGTGGTATTTAATAACATACATGTTATTAAGGTATTACGTATGTATTTAGTACAATTTACGACGTTTTCACGTACTTTATGATTGTTCATGGTTGGCCAAGTTAAGGAAGCAGCATTGTATTATATTTCCCTACAATATATTGGGGCACCAAACATTCACGGTTTTTCAACATTCACGAGGCTCTTGATCCCCTAACCCTCGCGAATGTTGAGGGAGACCTGTGTGTGTGTGTGTGTGTGTGTGTGTGTGTGTGTGTGTGTGTGTGTGTGTGTGTGTGTGTGTGTGTGTGTGTGTGGTGTGTGTGTGTGTGTATATATATATTATATATATATATATATAATATATATATTATATATATATATATATATATATATATATATATATATATATATATATATATTTATTTATTTATTTATTTATTTATTTAGGTAGGGATGCTGGAATCATTAGTTTTTATTAATTGATTAATGCAAAAGGGAAAACCAACTTGTCTTGAACTGCCAAAATTTTCAAGGCTTTCCATTGTCCTGGGCTTCATTGTCTTGCATGTTGCTGGCTATTTTGCATGTCCAGACAAAACCTGCATGATACTTAAAAACCTTATTACAATGAGGATCTAATGTGTACTATGTTTATCAGAAGTTTAAAAACTTGGTTCAGTTATCTTTGCCCCAAAATATTATGGTAATCTCATAAACCCCCCAAAATGAATGTGCTAAATCAGTGTTGCCACTAAGGTGTCTTGGATAGTAGTGGCTCAGGCTTCTGAAGTTATGCAAGTATAAAAACCATTTTTAAAGCATATTCTCGGATGCAGTGACCAGTTTAAATTTTTAATCTAATGCATGACGTGGTACTGAATTCTGCAATTTTTTTTTGCTCTTGCGAGCTTTGCACATTATATTTAAAAATTATTTTATGTAAGTGAGAAGTCCCAGTTTAAAAATTAGGTTGACCAAAAAGTCATATTGTATTGTGGATATTGATTAATACTCAGTAAACATTTGTACTTGGCCACTGATTCTACTGACAGATAATCATTGTAAACAATCACAGTTGTACAAGAACTGTGCTCTAATATCAATGATGGAATCTCAAATCTGTAATTTTTATATCTTTCAATAGCTAATCTAATTAGGGTTGAAAGTACAGGTATTCAGTATTTGCTGCCAGTGAGATTCACCATTAAAATATTATAGGATTTTATGGCTTGAAGGTCTCTATTATACTTATCAGTGTAAACATTATCTCAGTTCATTTATGTCATGTTTACAGATTTACAATGTGGCCACTAAATTTTGCTGTTCTGTTTATAAATATTAAAGTGAATTATTAAAAAATAAAATTTATAAGCCTATCATTGTCATGAGATAATATATTATATGAGATTTATAGGTGGTCTAGATGTTGAACGAAATGAGGATTATTCTGCATGACTTATGCATGACAATAAGCATTCCTTTTGCAGTCTGCTAGAATTAAGCCATGTTTTTCATCCCACCACAGCACCAAGCCCATCCGGTTCTCTTATAGCAGAGGAGATCGGAGACAAGTCATCAGGGGAAAATAAGGAGAACAGTGTTCCTTTCACCTACCTTCCTCCCAACACTGTCCTCCCCAACTCGTTGCAAGAGTCTCGAGTGGACGACGACGACGAGGATGGACCTATACTCTACCGTGACGATGATGATGATGAGGATGACGGTGAGTGCTTGGAGTTGCTAGTTAGAGCAATTAATAGCAAGTGAGATGGTGCCATTCATGTAGTGGTGTAGTGCTGTTAGTTGTCTTTGTTACTAGTAAACAAAAATAATGTACTGTAGAAGACATGAGATTCTGAGCTGAGATGTTATACTCAGAGGGCTGGATTAAGGCATGGGCTTTAGGGGCTGCAACCTAGAGGCCTCCACCAGCTGGAGGGCCTCCAGAGATGTTCTCAACAACTTACAATTTGCTGATTTTTGGAGAAAGTTGTTTCCAAGAAATTATGCAAAGTAAATGTTTGAATTTTAATTGTGGTTAGCCTTGTAAAAATAAATTTAATATTTCTTAAACTTTTTTCCCTTTGAAAATATCACTGGGGCCCCTCAGAGTACTCTAGCCCAGGGGCCTTACAGTACTTGTAGCCCAGGGGCCTTACAGTACTTGTAGCCCAGGGGCCTTACAGTACTTGTAGCCCAGGGGCCTTACAGTACTTGTAGCCCAGGGGCCTTACAGTACTTGTAGCCCAGGGGCCTTACAGTACTTGTAGCCCAGGGGCCTACAAAATCTTAATCCAGCTCTGTATATTCAAAGTAGAATAGATTATTTATAAAAATATGAACTTTTATTTGATTTAATTTCTTTAACTTTTTGTTAGCAATGAATTCAGTGTTAGAAAGTGTTTAAAAGGCATTTTTATTTTTATTATTAATACAAGTATCAGCTTAGAAATTTCATGAAGAGAAAACACACATTGTAGATCAAAACTCTGGTCTTCAGTGTCTGTTTTTTGTTGTTATTGTTAGCAGTGTACAATGTATTGATAAAATTCTGCCAATATTACTAATGACACTGAGAGATGCTTTGTTGAGATTTGCCCAGGAAAAAAAATATTTGTAAATATACAAGGTATGTTTAAGTATGTTGTTACCTATGTGAGTTTGGATGGGTTGAACTTTAGCTCTTGGTCCCACCTCTTTCAATGACAGATGTACATATGTTAGTTCACGTCATTTTTGACGCACTGTGGGGAGTTCATTTCTATTGTAGGTCAGGGATACACTTGCACTATTTAGGACATTTAGTAAGGCAACGTCTTGCCATCAGCTGCTGCTTCAGGGTGAAATGTTTCCTTAATAAATGTTTTGATCTGTGCATACATGTCTCCTACCTACAGTTTATTGGTTACCATACAGGAGGGCCCTGTTTATACAGCAGGTTAGGTTCTGGGCTGCTGCTGTAAAGCAAAAATTGCTGTAAAGTGAATCATAGCCCTTTTTTACTTTGAAATGCATATAAAAGCCTAATAACATGTTTACACTATCATTTATTAAGTGAACAATAAAGCTAGGCCTAAAAAATGCATATACAATTTGCACATTACTTACATTAAAATATTTTCATCTTTTGCTTATAGTTAGTGGTGAATATATTTATTGTAGGAAGTCTTGACTAAATGAAGAATGGGTATAACTGAAAACTGCTGCATTAGCGAAACACTGTAAGGCAGAGCGCTGTAAAGTGGGGCCATCCTGTTCCAGGTCCATCTTTATTTCTACTGTGGCACTGTATAAATCATTGATAAATTAGACACATATTACACTTTGTAGAACTAAATGGTAATCATCTCACCTCTTCTCTGATGCTGTTTCTGTTTGTTTGGGACCAAACATGATTGCTTCATCTCATTCCTAGGGAATGGGATGCAGCTCTAACTCCTTGTATCACAAGCCCTTGACCAGCACCACAACTCTAGCTTTGATACTGGGATCCAGCTTAGACACACACTTCTCGTAGCTCAGTCCTTTTAGCTCTGCTTTTGGTTTGTATGTACAGTGGACCCCCGACTCACGATGGCCTCAACCTACGATAAAACTGACTTAAGATGCTTGTCAGCGTAATAATTTGACCCTGACCTACGTTGAAAAACTCAACTTACATCGTTCATCCCGAACGTGGCCGTCTGGTCCGTCTGGCCTGAGCGCCTCAGCTGAGCAAGTGTGACATTGTTTACAAGCCAGGGCGGATGGTTGCATGCATACATTCAATAAATTTTGTATTATTCCAGTGTTTTTAGTGTTTGTAACTGCTAAATAAGCCACCATGGGCCCAAAGAAAGCTTCTAGTGCCAACCCTGTGGTAAAAAAGGGTGAGAAATACTATTGTACCATGGTCAGCTGCTGCTGCTCCACGGTCAGCTGCTGCTGCTCCACGGTCAGCTGCTGCTGCACCACGGTCAGCTGCTGCTGTACCATGGTCAGCTGCTGCTGCACCATGGTCAGCTGCTGCTGTACCACGGTCAGCTGCTGTTGCTGTGCCACGGTCAGCTTCTGCTGCTGCTGCACCACGGCCAGCTGTGGAACACCCTTTTTTTTCCCTTATAAATGCATACAAATACTAGATAACAAGCTTACACTAACATATATTAAGTTAGCAATAGAACTAGGCATCAAAAAACAATAAAAAAGTACAATACACACAGTGCACTCATTACTTACCTTAAAATATTTGTAGTCTTAATCTAGGGTGAGATGAGTACTATTTATTGTAAGAAATCAAGTGTGGTATGTATGGTAGTCAGCCTGGCTACCATACCAGGCCATTCCACCCAGAGTGATAAAATGCATATACAATTCACTCATTACTACCTTAAAATATTTGTAGTCTTAATGTAGGGTCAGAGGTGAGTAAACAAGATACAGTGGAACCTCAAAAATCGAACGTATCACATATCGAATGTTTCGAAAATAGGACATTTTTTTGGACAAACTGTGTCCCTATTATCGAACGCACCCCTATTTTTGGACTGCCGGGTATGGGACCTATCTGCCGCTCGCTCTGTCCACGTCCCCGCGCAGGCGCCGTGAGCAGTCTAGCTTTGTTTATGCTTGAGTGAACACTAACCTGCGCTCTCATTCACGCATTTTACATATCGATTTATTTTTCGTTGTGATTTAGTGTCTGTGGGACAGTGACAATAATGCTGCAGGGAAATCAAAGTAAACTTGTAGTGTACCCCATGTGGTAAAACAAGTGAAAAACACCATAGATCTGAAAGAGAACATAATACAAGAAGTGATGGGAATGGTGTTAATATGTTGAGCTTGCAGGAGTGTTTGAAAATAAAAGTGACCAATGTGGTTGCTCAATTTTGTCAAAAGAAAGAAACAAATCAAGGAAGTCGTGATTGCGAAAGGTGTTAATATTAGGGATGTTATGAGGTGCCTTTCAAAGATGTAGGAGTATTTGTGCAAGTGGGACATGAGTCCAATGTCCTGTGCAGAAAGACACCTGAGCAAGGAAACAAGCCTCTTGCACAAGTCAGTGACAGACCATGTCCCATTTTAGAAATGCAAGAGGTGCAGTAAACTCAGAGAGGAGTGGTCAGTTATTTATGTGAGACAAGGGAGTACCCAGAGACTCTCAAGCTGGTCCTAGTGGCATTAAAAGACAGAGAAGGGAAGTAACCTCAGAGAGGGAGCTGGTCCTAGTGGCATTAAAAGACAGAGAAGGGAAGTAACCTCAGAGAGGGCTTTACCTGAAGTCCTCATGGAGGGGGATTCTCCTTCCAAACACTAACCCCAACTCCCTCTCTCCTCCTCCCTATCTTCCAGATGCCATCACCAATCTTCAATAAAGGTAAGTAAAAATGTTATTTTATATGTATTACTATACATAATTAAAAACTATAGTATTTGTTTTATGTAAAACTGTAATTAATCTCTATAAAATGTATTTTTTGTGTGAATATTTTTTGGTTTCTGGAACGGATTAATTGTATTTCCATTATTTCTTATGGGAAATATTGCTTCGAATTTCAGACTTTTTGAATTTAGAACTAGCTCCTGGAACGGATTAAGTTCGATTTTTGAGGTTCCACTGTAAAACAAATAAATGAGAGAGAGAGAGAGAATGAGTACGTGAGGGAGGACAGGCGAAGAGTTATGCAAACAAACCAGGTGAACGTAAGTTTTGTAAACAAACAAAGTGTACACGTCCGGTTTGTGTACAAGTTACATTGTGTACAAGTTGTCTCTACATTGATACGGTAGAATAAATAAAGAGGAACACTCCCATTCTCATGTAACATCATTTTGAGAAGAAATGACGCTCTGAGTGAAGGCAATGGAAATAAGTCACTCTGTCTGACTTTTTTGGGTTATCCTGGGTTCTCTACACATATGCTGTTATGTATGATAATCTATGTAAATGTATTTGTGTATATCTGAATAAATAAACTTACATACATACAAAAGGAATAATTTTCTACAGTTACCCCAGTAACACATTTTCTCTTATGCTAGACTAGAGAAAGTGTTATTCTTGCCGTCACTTGTACAAATTATCTGGCTACCACATCTCATATTTATGTTTATTTATTCTATTGTGGGGTGTATTTATCATCTTTATATGTTATGTATCGTGTTTATTATATAATTTTGAAAAAGTATCATGGATGGATTAATGAAAATGTGTATATTAACGTAATATACGACATTTAATGAGACTTGGTGATTATTATTATCAGTACTAATATGACATCTCGAGATATAAGACACTCTTACTGATTTTAATGTGTACCTGCATGCCAGCACAGTACGTAAGTTTATTTAGGTACAGGTATACATAAGTATAATTATCAGAGTATATATAAAATATGAAATAACTTTTAAAAACACTTGAAATTTTGGAGTTTCCAGACATAATGGAGAGATTTAGTGCTTACGGATCTCACAGAGAATGTAAACAAACAGGGTGGGGCACGGTGACCGTATTAGAATGTCAGGTGGGGGGAGCCGTATAGTGAGTTTTGGTCATAATTTGAAATGACTGTATTAGCGGAACGCCATAAAGCGGGGCCCTACTGTATACCCGTCCTGCTCTGCTTCTCGTTAGTGTGACTTTGTAAATGGTCCAAGTCAGACCGAAACGTCGTTGTAAGCTCCTCTCTTCTATGTGCGGGTTATTTGTGTATCGTTCCAGTCATGGTATTGTGCCTTTTT